TCCTCGATGTCGCAGCAACCCTGAAAGAAAAGTGACCAAAAGCATCCGTCTTTGTGTTTTTTGTTTTTTTTGTTCTCCTCGCGCTTGCGTTTCCTTCCGCGTGTCTATTTTTGCCGCCTATGATGTAACAACACAGTGATGTGCTAGAAGCCTCGCCAGCGTCTATTCATTTTTTTTTATTTTTATTATTTTCTTTTCAAAATCAAGACCACCCACTTGCGACACAGCCTCCCTCAGCCTCCCATGGCAGTGTGGGAGGTTTTTTTTTTTTCCCCATAACACATAAAATCTAGAAATCTAACATCTCCAACACAATTTATAATTCAATGTATGTTAGATAAAAAAAATATTTAAAATGTGATTCGATAATTATGCTCATTATTGCATTATTTTTTTAAATAAATGAAATGTTACTGACAAATATCTGATGCAAAAACATTACAGAATCAAGACAATAAAATTAACTATTCAACAAACATATAACACAAATATATAAGAATACGCTCCAAAAAATACCCAATTATTTAATTTAAAAATTCTGAACTATTTTATAAAATATATACAAAATATATAGTACACACAAAATATGGTATGTACAAAATGTATGTAGTATACAATAAAATACAAGATATTAAAAAAAAAAAGCATTATCTAAAAATACACTGTTGATGATCAACAGATGTTTCATAAGAAATACAAATTTGGCTAAACATTAAAAAAAGTCGTTATTAAAAATTTATATAAAAAAATAAAATATTACACCTTTTTTGACAAATCAAGACCCCCCCCTTGCGACACAGCCTCCCTCAGCCTCCCATGGCAGTGTGGGAGGTTTTTTTTTTTTCCCCATAACACATAAAATCTAGCATCTCCAACACAATTTATAATTCAATGCATGTTAGATAAAAAATGAAACCTGTTACATGAAAATATTTTTAAAATGTGATTCGATAATTATACACGTTACTGCATTATTTTTTTAAATGAAATATTAATGACAAAAATATCTGATGCGAAAACATGACAGAAACTAGACAATAAAATTAACTATTCAGCAAACATATACCACAAATATATAAGAATACTCTCCAAAAAATACACAATTATTTAATTTAAAAATTCTGAACTATTTTATAAAATATATACAAAATATATAGTACACACAAAATATGGTATGTACAAAATGTATGTAGTATACAATAAAATACAAGATATTAAAAAAAAAAAGCATTATCTAAAAATACACTGTTGATGATCAACAGATGTTTCATAAGAAATACAAATTTGGCTAAACATTAAAAAAAGTCGTTATTAAAAATTTATATAAAAAAATAAAATATTACACCTTTTTTGACATAACCATTTTGCTTTTTTTTTTTAGATTAAAAAACAAATTTCAAGGGAAAAACTGTAAAATTAGAAATAAATACAAAAATATACAACTTTTTTTTCAAACCGCTAAAAGCATTTCATGCTTTCACACATCATTCCGACATCTCCATAATGATTCTTTTGTCCCCGTGTGAAATAGTCCCAACGCATGGCCATGCCGTCACCACTGCAAAGAAAAGCCAGCAGACTCGAGTGTGTTGTTATGTCGGCGGCGTAGGAGGCGCACACAGGGCAGATTGTGTCACTCTGACTTGTCTTGTGTTCTTCTGGAGAGGCCGCCACGTTTTTTTTTTTTCTTGTGTCCTGCGCTGGCATGCAGACACATCTCTGTCCTCACGCAGTCAGAGGTTCACGTCCTCCTTCTTTATCTTCCCCCCTGAAAGAGGCCACTTGTTCTGCGTGCCACAACATCTCATTGTGATTACGAAACAAACAGCGATCTGCGGCAAAAGAATGGCCGCTTTCTCTCTCCGATATATATGCGACAAAGACGCGATTCTCCAGCCTGACAGTATTTGGACGACGTTATCACGTAAAATCTTGTTGCCACTTTATGGGATATGTCTCATCTCTTTTTAAATATGGAATTGTCAAAAGAGCTGGATTTATTGACCGCAAATTGTTTGTTAGCCCTAAAAGCACATCCAGCAACCATTTTTCATTGCAAACAAATGACCTCAAAATTGTTCAATAATGAGATGGTCATAATAATAACAATAATAATAATAATAATAATAATAATAATAATAATAATGTGTCCTTTACTGTGTCTATATTGTTTTACAGTAATACTTAACTATATTCATAATTTTGTATTTACCTGTGGCTAAAAAGCAACGTGTGGAGAGTTTAGCTAGCTTTCAGACTGCTGTAGTTACAATATGCCAGCATTCATGTAACTTCTTGACAGAATATTTGCGGTGTTTTTTTCCTTTGGAGCCCAGCGCGTTGGTAGCAATCTCATGCTGGCCCAGTTCCCACGTGTTCCTCTCGCCCCCCTCGGGCTGCTTGAATCAGTCCATCGATCCAACTTGATCTTTCCACCGGAGAGGCAAAATACTGTGCTTAGCGGCCATCTTTGTTTTAAGGCTGGACCTGGATCTGTTGATCCTGCAAACAAATATGTGAGTTTCCAATCCAAGGGCAAGGCATGTGGTGATGGGAGAGGAGAGGACAATGGCCTGACCTACTGACCGGTTAAAGACTCCAGGCCTTCAGCACCTGTCTGGAGATGTCGTCAGGGACTGCAGTCTACTATGTTTAGAGTTCATTAAGTGTTGGACCTTGCCTGGATTCGTTGCTGCGATCCTTGTCTGGAATGCAATTTTTTTCCCCCCTCTCTGTTCCTTCTGAGGTTGGCTCGAAACCCTTTGTCACTTAATCTTAATAACGCCCTGTTCTGTTTCCGAGCCGGGCAAGGCTTTTTGTTGGGATGCAATAAATCACGGATGCTTCTGTACACTGACGTTGGCCATGCAGAAGTTGATATAAGCCAAAGCTGCCGCCGGATACTGCTCCAGATCTCAAACGCACCCCACTGAAAATACTCCTGCGTTATTCTTATCTCACTAAAACCAGCAGATGGCACTTCAATTTGCAAAAGTAACCCTTGCAGCGTTGCTTATTGGATTCATTTCTTTCTGTTTTTTTTTTTTCTTGTGTCCTGCGCTGGCATGCAGACACATCTCTGTCCTCACGCAGTCAGAGGTTCACGTCCTCCTTCTTTATCTTCCCCCCTGAAAGAGGCCACTTGTTCTGCGTGCCACAACATCTCATTGTGATTACGAAACAAACAGCGATCTGCGGCAAAAGAATGGCCGCTTTCTCTCTCCGATATATATGCAACAAAGACGCGATTCTCCAGCCTGACAGTATTTGGACGACGTCATCACGTAAAATCTTGTTGCCACTTTATGGGATATGTCTCATCTCTTTTTAAATATGGAATTGTCAAAAGAGCTGGATTTATTTACCGCAAATTGTTTGTTAGCCCTAAAAGCACATCCAGCAACCATTTTTCATTGCAAACAAATGACCTCAAAATTGTTCAATAATGAGATGGTCATAATAATAACAATAATAATAATAATAATAATAATAATAATAATAATAATAATAATAATAATGTGTCCTTTACTGTGTCTATATTGTTTTACAGTAATACTTAACTATATTCATAATTTTGTATTTACCTGTGGCTAAAAAGCAACGTGTGGAGAGTTTAGCTAGCTTTCAGACTGCTGTAGTTACAATATGCCAGCATTCATGTAACTTCTTGACAGAATATTTGCGGTGTTTTTTTCCTTTGGAGCCCAGCGCGTTGGTAGCAATCTCATGCTGGCCCAGTTCCCACGTGTTCCTCTCGCCCCCCTCGGGCTGCTTGAATCAGTCCATCGATCCAACTTGATCTTTCCACCGGAGAGGCAAAATACTGTGCTTAGCGGCCATCTTTGTTTTAAGGCTGGACCTGGATCTGTTGATCCTGCAAACAAATATGTGAGTTTCCAATCCAAGGGCAAGGCATGTGGTGATGGGAGAGGAGAGGACAATGGCCTGACCTACTGACCGGTTAAAGACTCCAGGCCTTCAGCACCTGTCTGGAGATGTCGTCAGGGACTGCAGTCTACTATGTTTAGAGTTCATTAAGTGTTGGACCTTGCCTGGATTCGTTGCTGCGATCCTTGTCCGGAATGCAATTTTTTTTCCCCCCTCTCTGTTCCTTCTGAGGTTGGCTCGAAACCCTTTGTCACTTAATCTTAATAACGCCCTGTTCTGTTTCCGAGCCGGGCGAGGCTTTTTGTTGGGATGCAATAAATCACGGATGCTTCTGTACACTGACGTTGGCCATGCAGAAGTTGATATAAGCCAAAGCTGCCGCCGGATACTGCTCCAGATCTCAAACGCACCCCACTGAAAATACTCCTGCGTTATTCTTATCTCACTAAAACCAGCAGATGGCACTTCAATTTGCAAAAGTAACCCTTGCAGCGTTGCTTATTGGATTCATTTCTTTCTGTCAACATATACCATTTTTGTTTCTATCGGCCTGTGCGGCATGAGAATGATGAACTCGGCAGCAAGCCACCACAAAAGCAATTTTGGTCGATCCGCGTCTGCTTGCTTGCTACGATTTAATTTGGGATGATTGTGCTTCATCACAACAAACAACCCCGGGATGAGACTAGCCACACTCCCTCCGCCCTCCTCTTTGCAGCTCAATCTACTGTGGTTAATTCCGGCTGCGTGCTCCCTCGGGGCGTCATTGATCCTCACATACGGAACTGTATGCGGATCCAAGCTGGGAGTCGCCCTCTGTTTCTCTCGTGATATCAAACTTGAGAAGATGGCGGGCAGGAGGAGGAGGAGGAGAAAGTGGAGCGTGGCGGCACGCTCCACCTTCGCCACCATCAGGGGCCGCTTGGGCCCCGGCAGGAAGGGCGTGGAGGGCCTGTGCGTGAGCAGCCTGTTGGGGGTCCTCAGGTCCCACTTGTGGATGGTCGGGGACGAGTGTGCGACTCGACTGCTGCTAGGCCGCGATGTCGGTCCGGTATCGCGCCGGCACCACCGCGCTCAATCGCTGTCCCATTCTCTGTGCTCGTCCTTCACAGATGGCGGGAGCGAGGACCTGGCAGACCCCCGCTCGCCCTGTTTAGACCCTCACCTGAGCCACTTCGGCCAAGGTAAGCACACCTTTGAAAGCACTCGGTCAATGGATATTACATTAAATAGTCAGCAGCATTGCATCATTCAAAAAAAAAAAATTGCCAATTGACTTTAGATACCAAGTCTTTACTTCTAGTTACACGAGAAGTGAATATGAACAGTCAGTAACAATATTCAGCATCATTTCCGTTGACGGAGGGGAAAAAAAATGACGACGGAAAATTAAGTTGGATCAGTACAGGAGACGTCTCAGCAGCATTGTAGAGAGCAAAACAAAAACATTCTCAATAAAGTTTATAGCCCAAATCCTTTTGACGACTTTCTGAAGCTGGCATTCTGTTGAGGTTTCTTCACAGCAATAATAGTCAACAGCACTGAAAAATATATATAACATGTATAGGCCAAATAGTTGCACCTACTGACGATGATATTGACACGGAAAAATATTCATCATCTTCTCATTTGTCTCAATGAAGTCCTCAAAATCTTAACAGAAAAAGTTAAACAACAAAGTTCATATTATTGTCATGTGCCTTTCCATTCGGAGTGCTGGCGACATTTATAAAGCAACAAAAATAGACGTGTGTGTGATATGGAGCAAAAAACATGTCAATCAAATGGAATTTATAGCTACAATCTCAAGTACTGAAGATCATAAAGTTCATAGTTTTCTCATTTGCTTTTGAAGTAGGCATACTGCAGATATTATGTGTACACACACACACACACACACGCACACACACACACGCACACACACAATATTGAAGATAATGGCGTCGCATGAGAGAATGTTGATCTTGTAATTTGCCTTTGAAGTAGGTGTACTGGAGAGTTTATCAGCAGCCGGGAGGAAATGTTTTCCGTAATTACAGTACCTCACCCCCCACACCCTCTTTTTTTGTTTTTTTTTTTCCCCTTCCCATGCTTGTGCATGTTTGGAACATGTCGACCGGTGTGGGCGTTTGTTTGGAGTCACGAAGCGTCCGAAGCATGTCATTATGGCATCACATCATAGACTAAAATACTTTTGTCCCCCCTAATTTCGACTTGCATTAGCAGTCTATAACGATCACATTAGAAGTGGCATGCGAAAGTCCTTCGGTAGACATTTTAACATCCATATATTACTCGGAACGCCACCCGTCTATCAGTATTGGATTGTTCATTCATCATGTGTCCTGAAAACAACAAAGCTATAATTCGACTTGGTATTACGTTTGATATATATTTTGATTTGACTTTTATTTTAGTCCAGCACGGACCAAATTTGCATCTTTCGATTAAATTATAGTGTAGTTAACCTCACATAAACTCGAGCTACTCTACCATAAAACGTAATAAACTGATGCACTGCATTTTTATAGACATCAGTTGAATCAACCTTTTTTTTTTTTTTTTTTTTTTTTTAGTCTTTCAGTCCTATAAAAGTGTGGGTTTGTGCCTGTGTGTGTGAGTGTTTGTTCACTATGTGGTCAAACAAGATTGCGTCCTCATGAATACTAATTGAAGTACTTCCAATGATGACGTTTTGGAAGGCCCAAAGGCATTTATCGTCAGCACCTCCGTTTATTGTATTTGTTTATTAGCACGATTGCATGAAACTTTTATCCATCATTTTTTTGACACGACTTGTTTCATGTTTAACTTTTCATTAACTGCCTCCACTTTCGGAGTTCAGATCCCCCATTTTGTTTTGTTTCCACAAATGGAATAAACCAGTTGGTGCCTCTCCCGTCTCGCAGGTGGCAGCTTAGACGGCGACTGCGCCTTCGAGCCCGACTACTACAGCGCGTTACCGCCGCCTCCGCCGCTCTCCATGGCCGAGGGCGTCCAGCATATTCGCATCATGGAGGGCGTGTCGCGCTCGCTGCCCTCGTCGCCGCTGCTCGGCCACCAGGCACTTGGAGTCCGGCTGCAGGCCGTCAAGAAGCTCACAGGTGAGATGGCGGAGCATGGCTCAGCATTTTTTTTTCCCCCCAATGAGAAAGCCGTGGGAGATGTCATGTGATTGCAATCAGATTGGACTTGTTTATTTTAAGGTGTAATTTAATAGTTGGCCACCAGGGTGCACCAGAACATGGAAGCTTTGACTCAGCACACACATCACATTAACCGGTTCTGATTTTCATTTATCGGCAAATGCTGTGATTTAACCCTCCTGTTTTACTATGGCTGATGGCGCAAACGGACCTGCAAAAAAAAAAGAAAAAGAAAAATACGAGTACTTTTATGTCATCACTTTTGGAAATTGTTTAAAAAAAAAAAACCCAAAACTTTAGTTTCAATGTACCATATATTGCAACTCTTTTTTTCTTTCATCTTTTTACTTTGTTGACTTACTTTTTTTTTCTGCTTATCCTCTGTAGCCAGAACTGCAAAAAATATATGGAACAAATCAGCGTAAAAGAAAATTGGCACCTCTTAAATTGTATTTTTTTTTGTCTTTACATTGTTTTTTTAAATCATTTTATTTCCTTTTTAATCTTTTTTTTCTTTGTTTAATAATTTTTTTTCTTTGTTAATTTGACTCTCCTCTCATATTGTAAGTTAAGCTGACTTGTAGAAATCTCAAGCAAATAGCGGTGGCCCACTGGAATACACTTCTTGCATAACGGTCCAGGCGAACGTGCATAATGGTGCACAGCATCATAAAAATTATGTGAGGTGCACAATTTACATCTTCTTATTTATAAGGCCTTTTTTTTTTAATGACGGCGATTAAACATCAAAGCAGCAGGTCACATTGCTCCACAAGCACAACAGGAGGGTGATCAGGGTTCATTTTAGGACTATTTATTTTCTCATCATAGATGAAGATTTATGATGAGGGGAGCAGCTCAGGCCTATGTTTGGTTGCACATTTCCCGGCAGATGAAGCTTAATTTGGGGGCTCTTTGATCAGCCGGCGAAGTGTGGATGTGTTTTTGTTGTCCAGTTGTCCAATTAAAGAGGTGCGACGTCGCCTTCTCTCATGGAGTTTCTGCGCCTTTGTATTTTTAACTTTGCGAAGTTTATCGCCTTTGATGTGTCATCTGTTTGTTGCCAACAAGCGGGGAGTGCATTTTTGTTTATTTGTAGCTTCTTTTTTTTTTAATGCTTACTACGTTTTAGCAAAAATCCAACAAATCTGTCGAACTGATCAAAGTTGTGTGGAGAGTGCATCTGACAAAACTATCGGGTCACCTTCCGTCTTTTGGAAATGAAGAAAACGCGGACTCGGCTTGAGCTTCATTCGTCTTTCGTTGCTCTCCTCACCAATACGGCAACACACATTTCATTCCGTCACTCCGGGCTTTGTCACCCTTTAATTAATCCAACTCAGCGCCGCGTACCGCACAGCGTGACGGCGCCAAATGCTTGCGTGCGCGTGAGTGCTCTGACGTCAATAGGCCATAGTTCACCTTCTTCATTCATGTTGTGGATGAATTTTAGGATTGTTATGATTTAAGAAAGAAGAAAAAAAAGTAGCCTATGTGGTAGAGTGAACTGGAGGAAAAAGGAAAGTGGTCATTTCTTGCAGGTAGATTCCATACCTTATCCCGTTATTTTTGGAAACCCAAGCTTCTTCAATCGGGGCGAGAAGAATAAAAAAATAAAATAAAAATGACGTTATTTATTTTTTCATAGTATTTATAAGAACATCAAGTCTTCATGGTTTTTGCGATTGGTGGTCAGGCTCTACCTTTCATACTAGACTCGAATACCCGAATGTGTAGTCAGATCCAGAGTGTTACTTCATCACCAGATGGGATCCAGAGCTTCTCAGATTTCAACTGCCAATGCAACATCCAGACGCTAAAGCCCTTTCGCTGATTCTAGCGTGTTTGTGCTTTCTGTGTGCGCCCACTTTGTGACATCATATGTTCTCACCGGCTTTGCACAGATCCCCCACGTTGGCTATTTTTAGTGTGCAACACAATGGCTCATTATAAGAGTGCGGCGGTAATCGCTGATGCCTCGTTGGTTCCTGCTCGGACAACTGACTGGTAGTGATGGATCGATTTGATTTATTGATGAAGTGGTCCATCAAGGACTGGCAAGAGATACATTTCACGGTAATTATTTCTACATTCTTAGTAGAGCTGGCAAGAAGTTCGATCCAAAGAAATATGCCCATGCCACTAGTTTCACTTGCAACGTGAAATTGGATCGGTTGGTCATCAGAAGATGGCAGTGTAAGCCTTGAGGATGCAGACGCTGAAATCATTCAGCCATTATGTTAAAAACAACTATTTGGTCCAATCCCCAAATTGTCATCTGAGGAAAAAAGTCCTTGCCACAAGCTACATCGATCAATGCAAAATTTTGTCTATCTCAACAAATGCACTAAAAAGGCTCAATCTAATCCTGAAGATAAATGCAACCATCTTCAGACATCAAAGTAAAATTTGGTGGAATTGGTCAACTATGATAAGATGCACAAGACCATGAATCCTAAAATGAAGAGGAAATCGGTTTACTTTAAATAAAGCAGCTTTTTTTGTCACAAAGTCATGTCTGGGGGGGAAAAAAAATTCACAGCCACCAGCTTGATCAAGCAACGTGAAATTTGTTGGGTTTGTCTGTGACAACAAAATTCATGAAAAAGTCTTCAGAACCCCGTTCCCTGAAATAAATGTGAAATCTGATTTTTGGGATGAAAGTGAATACTTTGTCCAGTCTCAAAGTTGCCCCGAAAAACACCACCAAGTTTATTGATCAAAGTGAAATTTATCTTATCAATCACGACAGGATGCACAAAAAAGTCTCAGGGGACCCATGACTGAAAACGAACAGCTAATCAGGCATTTGCTTTAAAAGCAGAGCTTTTTTTTTTTTTTTGTCCAATCCCAAAGCCTCTTTTCTTGAACTGACTCAAGCCAAAGCAAGCCCAAATCAGAATCAGCGATGCCAGACAGATAAACAGCCCGTGATAAATTGCGACGGATTTTAGTCAAAGTGGGCGTAGCCTTTGACGGTTCCCCATGCGACAGCAAATCCCAACAACGTGGGTCCAGAAGGTCAGAATTTATCATTCCGTATTCCAAGATTATTACCCCCCCCTCCCCCCGGCCCTCCCGCCAGCGGATGTTTTATAAGAAGCGATTCTGTGGATTATTTCAAATTTGTCACGCACACACAGCCTGTTGGGTGACGAAAGCGTCAGCCGCCTCTCGCCAGCTTCACGCTGCATGTCGATGACAATGACAACACGCAGTCGCTGTCGTGTGACACCGCCGAGATAAACTACAAAGGCGTCTGTTAATAAATGTGTGTAGTCACGGCTGGACTGTACGTCGGCGAGGCTGACCGACATTTATGAGCCTCGTCGGTCAGAGTGAAAAACTCTCTTTGGGGAAATAGGCGTGACTGACGGAGATGATTTAAAAAGTGCTGATTTTGGTCCTAAATGGCCTCAAAAGATGGCTGCACTTTCAAGGGTAAAACAAGGACATGCGGAAGCCAACGGGGAGCCGCTCGCTGCGGCTTTTCATTAATAACCCGACAAAATCTTCCCCTTTCTGATCCCGCGTGTCCGTCAAGCTGCAAAACCGCGTGTCTTTTAATAACAACGCTCTCCTCCCACCCTCGTCTCTGCTTTCTTTTTTTTGGGGGGGGGGATTATGCCATTTTCTTCCCTGCTCTCCATTCCCACCCTTTTTCCTCCCCCTCCTTTTCTGCTCGCTGGTTGCCATGACAACAGCAGCACTGCACCATTCATCCATCGGTAGGACCTGGGCTCGCGTTCCCGCTCCGCATATAACGGCGCGAAAGGCGACGGATGTGGCGGTTGGCGGACAGAGGCGCTGCGCTTCCTTCAAGCTGCCGCATCGCTCCTTAATTTTCCGGGAGGGTGAAGGTTACCCGGTAGACTGGGGTGTCACCTTTTGTGGTACCCTCCCACCAGCGGCACCATCACCGCCCCCACCCCTCCGCCGAGACACAACCACCTTCTTCCTCTTCCTCTTCCTCACACTCCTCCCATCGCCGCCGTATCGCTTACTCAAGTGCAGCAGCATCGGCGCCGAAAACCTGAGCTTTCACTCACACCCCACCCCATTCCCCCCAAGATAAGAGGACCCCCTCGCTTTACTTTTTCTCGCCTACTCCGGAAGGACTTCCAGCTCGCCCAGCCTCCAGGAATGCGGGACTGCTCCCGTTGAGAATGGTGAGCGACCGCCGCGCCCTCGTCTCCTGTTCGCACGTTGTCAGGGTCGCCGGCGCGGGTCATGTGACGCTGGGCTGACGGGAAGTGATTTGATGCACTTGTCGATGGCGCGCTAATGACACTAACGTAGGCTTGAGGAGGAGCTGCGAATCAAGCCGGCGTGATCAAGTGTTTATTTATTTATTTTTGGTGTGTTCATGCGTTAGCGTGGGTGATTCAATTGTCTTTTGAGTGTGTGTGTGTGTGTGTGTGTGTGTGTGTGTGTGTGTGCGCGCGTGTGTGTCTTAAGTACAAGCTGTGGGCGGCTAATGATGCACTTTTCCCAGCATAGCAGCAGACTATGTACCATATGCTTGCATAAATAGCTTAAAGTTGTCAGGTGGGAAGGTGGGGCAGCAGAGTTTTTTGGGGGGTGTTGGAAGGGGGGGGGGGCGGGCTGAGGATGCCCACTTCCGATGGCTGTGTTTCTGCGGGCTGCTCGCCCCGCTCCCATCTCCCCAGGGGGGCCAGACGAGCTGCTGTTGAGCGAACGGAACAAAATGTCTCAATAACAGCAGCCAGACGTCATCGCCTGCCTCCGCCGGTTGGCATCGACTCCCGGCTCGCTGATGACGACCAGTTCAGGAAGGCATTCGCGTCCCAAGTTGGTGTCGAATAGAGCTGTGTAGTTGGACTTTTTTTTTTTTTCTTCAAAACCGACCTTTGAGCCATTCAGAAACTTCGATAAAGGCCCAGTTATAGTCATCAGGAATATTTGAGGGGAGCCGTGGTCCAAACTACTGTGAATTT